GAAATTTGTACAGAACTGAGCACACTAGTATAGTTTGTGGAAATCACTCTTATTTGAGGATGAGGACGGAAAAATAAAAGCTTTGATATTTACTACAGTCTCTTAAGAACCTTCTGAGCTTTTCATTGCTCACTGGAAGTTGCTAGCTTGTCCCAGCCATCTCAAATTCTTTGAATAGCGCAGGGGCAGTAAATGAGTCAGCTCATAAGCAGGTGTACCTCAGCAGATCACAGCCTTCAAACACAATTGTATCGAAAAACCAGTTATGAACCATTTGGTTTATAGGTGAAATGGCTGGCAAACATTAAAGCCCTCCAACTTCTGAAGTCACAAGTGCATCCTCCCCTCTGGGAGCCTCCGATTTCCCAGGTCAAACCACCAAGTTATGCTTTACAAGTGGTCACAGGGAGGGCAGCCAAACGGTGAGCCTGGAACAAGACAAGAATTCACACCTCGGGCTCCAAATCCCAGTGTTTAACTCTTCTGCTACTGCAGCTCCAGGCAGGACGCAGGGATTTAGCATTTACGTAACGTCGTCACATGAAAAAATGACACCATTCATGCCACCATACCTCAATATTTCCAACCATGTGGCAAGCGAACGGACAGTTTCCAATCAGGGTAAGAAAGACAAAAAGTTATCTGAGCCTGTCAAGTTTTAGGTATCACCAACATGTCCCTCCCCTGTAGTCTCCATCACATAGATGGGAAAAACTATTCCCAAGAATAATAACTAGAACAAAAGAAAAGGAATAAAGAGAAAAATTTCCATTAAAAAAGAAATGAATTCTGGGAAACTCATTCATTCATTCAATGTGAGATGTAGATCACAATTCAGTTGCCGAAAGATTACCTACTCAAAATTCACCATTTCACATTATGCATAATGATACAGTCACAAAGTTGTTCTGTTACTCATTATTCCTGAATTGCTTATCTACATTGTTTCCAAAAGTGACATTATACTGTCTTCCAGTCAAGTCTGACCAATTATTTAGCACATTTAAGAAAGCAGAACCTGTACCAAATCAAGCACCAGGAGTCTATCACTTGCTGCAAAACCAGAACAATTTCCATATGTCATTCAAGCTGAATATAGTCCTCTTCATTAATCCTCTGACATTTATCAAATAAGAAATTCTCACTATAACAAACTCTAAAAACCTGGATCAAGTGACTTTAAACTAAAAGGAAATTTAAGTAGAGATAGGAAACTATCACCAACTCTTGACAAGCCTTGAGGCATATAAAGAACTTCAACAAGCTTGAATTCTGAAATGTTTTTTATCTTCCTTAAAAATATGGAACTCCTGTTTACAGGTGTTGCCCTGCTGTTTTAAAATATACGTACGCTTCAAAATCCAAAACACAGGTGATATGGGGCGGTGCGTGCCGAGAATACATCCTTATGCTATAGAAGGGATTTCTGCACCTGCCTTGAAGTAGAAAGACCGGAGTTACAAGACTCTCATCACGACACACCAGCAATCCCAACACATAAGAAAAAGAACCACAGTCTAACAGGAGACCCATTCGAACAAGGCAGATAACGCCATCCCCACCTTCGGTGAAGGTGAGCTGGCCAGCACCCTGCAACGCCCGGGAAGCTCATCTGCTTACTATAGCTGAGGGCGCTGCACACCAAATTGCACTCACACACCCAAACAAGCCATAGATTTAAACACAGGTGTCTCCTCATCCTCTGCAACAGCTTATACAAAAAAGTCTTTAAATAGAGGCAGGCAACCCTCCCAGTACATTTGTTGAATGTCTATGTATAACATATTCTTGTTACTTACCACAGTTATTGATTAAATGCTTGTTTCCTAGAATAGGGGTTTTATGTAAATAAATTAATGTAGTCCTAAATTATATCACAGATGTCCATAAAATCCTAATTATATAAAACTCGTAACATTATAATTACACACTGATCAAGTAATTATGCACTGTGCTCAAACACTGAGTGTTTTGGAGCAACATTAGGTTTCCCATTTTGTTTTACTTAAATCAGATAGCAAGGATCTGACCACCACTGATTCAGAAATGGTGACCAGATTTTGTACAAACTAGAAAAAAAATCCATGAAACTATTCTGCAAAGCTATAAAAAAATAAGTTATTGTCAATAGAGTTTATTAAGGCTAGAACCTCCAAGAGAAAACAGTCCTATAAAAATAACCTCTACCATATATCCCTATAAGAACATGTTCCACAACCATAAACAAATGAATCCATTTCTCGAAGTATTGAAAGTAGTCTGTATCTTGCTGAAAGCGATACAGAAAGTGCCACATTTTTTGAAACAGGGAAATGCATGTTCCTTTAATCTCAAGGCCCATCACTTCTAAGTTACAACAATTAATTCATGACATCTTTTAAGCAATTTGATCTAAAGAAATGCTGTAAATCTATATTTCGATTAAAGGACAAATATGGGTGTACAAAGACTTGCCAACTCATAAAGAGGACCAGCTGTGAAACATGGCCTCATTTTCTTCTTCAGTAACATGACTTCCCTGCTACCCCTAGAAGAGTGCAAGCCAGATCCCAAATATGAGAGCCAATGCTTCAGTCTAATTTTGGACATCATTCTCTTCTTCCTAAAGATACATGACCTTAATTCCAACCCACAGTTGCATCAACTATAGCAGTCTTATTTCACCTGCTATCGATTTATTTTTATTGTAATCATGCTACTTCACATTTCCTTTTACTTTTGTGAAAGGTTTACATTATTTTTAATTGCTCAAAGGCTATATATAACATATTTTCACTCTTAATTAGATTAGCTCTTTCAGAAGCCATGAACTTCCATGCTAGCTGTAGAACACCCTTGTTGTCAGATGCACCAACAAGTTGTCCATCCATCCATGTAAAAATATCAACATCTTGAAAAACAGGGAAGGGGAAACCTATGTAGATACTCGTAAACATAAAGATGATAGAAAATGAGAAAGATTTAACATTAAGGCACACGCTTTTCTAGTTACATTTACCACCAGCTCCTAGTATCACTTTTATAGTCATGGAAATGAGCCACAGCCTGGCTAACCTGAGGGTGTTAAGCTGAGTAGATCAATGATGGTCGTAACTCGCCAAGATAAACCTTTGCTCTAAGCAAGCAG